AAAGAGAGGAAACAACAAAAAAACAAAGCTGGTTTTGGTAACAAGTCTGAACAACACCCCACGGAGCAGATGGCTAAACAGCATGTGGTGTTTGTAATCTTTGCTTTAGACAAGCTGGACTTTAGGCGGAGGAGGACTGAGCGCATCCGCAGAGAGAGAATCGAGTGCCCTCTAACCAATGACATGGAGAACAGGAGGAGACCCCGGGCTAACAGCCAATCAGATCCCATACGAAGAGGACGAGGCAGACCAAAAACAGTGGGGCTGAAGAAACAGGAAGAGGAGAAAGGTAAAATAAGTCATGTTCACAGATGCATTTTGTGGCACTGATGTTTTTTTTGTTTGCTCATGTTAGGGACCTTTTTTAGTTTTGCCTTTGCTGTGTTGTCACAGTGCAAATAGACAGGAGGACAAAAGAGATGAGCAGGAACTCACTGAATAAAGTGGCTGTACAAACTATGGAATAATATCAAATTACAAATGCATCCAATGAAAATGGGGGAAACGGCGATGGAAAAGTCAGGTTAGATCTAGACTACCTGGCGCTTTGATATTGCCTTCTAGAGCTCAGTCGGCCCGTGACAGGAAAACCAGCATCGCCACAAACTTATACACACATTAAAAACCCTCATCTTTTTATAATTGGCTTGGGAAATGGTGCAACACTTTCCTGAAATAAACAGACATGGGAATACATGCTTACGATGGTATTTACAACTGAACATTAGGTGTGAGCACCTTTATTCCTCAGCACATCCTGAACACTCTGAGGCAGTTTCTGTCATTTCTTTAAGTAGTCTTCAGGAAGTGGAAGCTCTCCAGGCTTCCTATAAGTAAAGATACAATTTCAAACTGCTTCTTTGTTAAGTTGTCTGGTATGCAGACACAGCACTGCACACCACTCTTTATATTCAAATGATTTATGTCCATGTTAAGCAGCAGACAAAGAAGTATGATCAGAAAGTGAAATGTAAAGTAAGGAGGGGTGGATCAACATGTTACTGTGGATCAGCAAGGACTTGTTTGCACATCTTGCACTGATTCTGGGTCGACTATGCAAATCTGCAAAAGCACAATGAAATAAATTGCCTTTGAGTTGTGTTGTGGAAAATTTAACAATAACCTGCAACACACCCAGTGAGCTTGAAGTGGGTTTAATGAACACATTGAACTGTGGAGAGAGCGTCCCAGTGAAGCCCCATCTCTGAGTTGTGGCCGTACATCTTACATACAGACACAGACAAACATCACATTATTTATCTGTAAAACATGTTTGGAGTCATGAATGATTTTTTATGTTTCCTCAGACAATGAGGACTTAATGCACTTACACATCAGGAACTGACATGCTAGGAAATCAGCCTGCCTACCCTACAAACCTGCTGTAAAACCTGCATGCTATAAATACTCCAGTCACTCATGCTCAGGACTCTAACAGAGTTTGTGATGTTCAGACAGTCATGTAAATGCATATCATTTATAAAATGATTAGAAACGTCACACCGACGACCTCCTTAACCCAGAAACACAGAATGT